TTGTGGTGCTTGCACTCATAGTCCTCCAGCCTCAGCCTCTTGAGTAGAGTCACAGTATGTGCTGCCATACCTAGTGGTTTTTCTTTTTTTCTTTTTTGCTTTGCCTGGCTTCTGTGGGATGGAGAAGAATAAAGGGAACTCAGATTTTGAAAGTATAAGTAGAGAAATCTTTGGATTAGCTTACTGGAGAAATATAAGATCATGGGAAGCTAAAATTCCATCCTGGAAAGATAGGCTGTAAGCCAGTTGAGGAAAAAACCTGCAAGTAACTAAGAGAAAGGAAGGAAGGAAGGAAGGAAGGAAGGAAGGAAGGAAGGAAGGAAGGAAGGAAAGTAGGAAAGAAGGAAGGAAAACAGTTATCCTCTGGCAATTCTCATTGTTTTTACTATGTGCATGAAACTGAGCAGAACAGACTTTTGTAGTGTCCTGGAGTCCATCTCCTTCCCTTTAGAGATGAGGTTGCATAATCAGAAAGAGGACAATTTGTGCGCAGGATAGCAAATGATGGCATATTGAGTAACCTACCCTCCTAAGCTACCCTCTCTTGGTACCAATTGACTTCTCATTTGGAACCCAGGACTGGCTGTAGAAGGCTAATCTATTACCTTTGCTATGGGCCTGAATCAGTTCTTGGACTTCTCTGGAAGGAACCTGAAGGCAGTAACTAAGGCCTTTGCTTTTAAATTCATCACAGTGTAATTGAGAAGCACAGGGTCCCTTTTGCAGGGTCTTAGTCTGGTAGATAAAAGAATTTCAAAACTAACTCAGAAGTTTGAGAAAACAACAGCAGGCCAAACTAGCTGGAGGTGCTGGCAGCTGCTGCAAGGAGGGAGATGGGGACTAGGAAGAAAGTCATGCTTTTTCAGTTAGAGGTCTGCAAAGTAAGCAGGCTCAGCAGGGGAATTCTGAGCAGCTGCTTGGGAGGTGGGGATAGAGAGGGTTCGGAGAGTGAGAATGCCCAGAGTAATCAGGGCAAACAGGCTTAGTATTCTGGCAGGTATTGGAAATGGGAAAGAGGGAGACAAAGCTTTATGAGTTACAAGGGGTCGCCTTAGCTCAGAGGGCCAGGAAGCAATGCAAGGAGGGAATGGCATCTAACATAGGTAGATATTCCCTTCATGGTCTTAACATGTCTTCAGGAATATATCATGTTTCCCTTCACAGTCTGGTTTCAGGCTGTTCTCTGAAGTTGTGTAACAGGATTTTCTCCTTCCCCGGGAGGTTCTGGCCTTGCCTAGGCAAGGGAAATTCCTGCTGCTTTATCAAAAGGTGTTATCAGCTACTAAGTTATTTGAGAGAGAGGGGTTTCTTATGATTAACTAGCAGTACTTCAAATTCTAAAGGGGGGCAATTGTGAGACACCCCCTCCCCCTTCCTCAGAATTAGTGTTAGCAGGAACACAGTGAGGCCCTTATCTGAACTATCCATCCTCACTTTTGTTATGATAATGCGCCTAGGGAGACCTTGCCTGGGGGACCTTGGTGGATTCCTTGGCCAGTGAAGTTGACCAAGGCAGAGGGACAAACGTGCCAGGCAGACAGAGCTTAAGAGAGAAGTTTTATTAGAAAGGGGAGGGAGAAGGAAAGAGAAAAGAGGTAAAGAGACACAGAGACAGAGAGAGGACAGAAGAGAAGAGGGAGACAGGAAAAACGCTGTCTGCCCCAAGGGAACAGCAGGAGAGAGAGTGGGGAAGACAGATCTGAGTAAGTAGGAAGATAGCATAAATGGGCGGGGGGTCTGTCTTTTAAAGGGGTCTTTTGCACCTGCATGCTGACCAGGGTACTGTCTGAGTGTGTTCTGCCAGGTGACAGGGGCAGGCCAGCATAATGCCTGAATCCTTCCACCTTTAGCTCTCAGTCAGTTAATGTTTGACTAGTTGCATGTGGTTGTTTACCATGAGTTAATTAACTGCCTGGTGAGTTGTATACATCAGTGCTCTGTTGAAGCATTAACACCTTAGGACAAAAGAAGTTAGAACAGAAGTTGCCGAAGACCGAGGCATTCAAGAAATAGATTGTTGAGGTTATTGAGTAAGGAAGTTAAGAGTTTTAATAAGTTAATGAGTTCATGAGGGTTATGTTAACAGTTCTTTGGGCTTTAGGGTGAGAGACTTTTTTCCTTTGGAGCAGATAGAGCCATGCTTCGTGTCTCTTGCAGGCTGGGTGGGGAGTGCTGTGACAGAGGAAATGTGCTGTGGCGAGATAATAGGGATATTGCCATACAGATATTATTTCCACAGAAGTTTTCATGAGCACATACCATTTCCTGTTTTTACTTTTTTCGAAGGGGGCTATTTGGCCTTTTTTTTTTCCTTTTTCTGGTTTTGTTGTTGTGTATTTTCGTCTGTTTGTTCATTTTAGCATATTCCTTGTTGGTGAATGTGGGCTGGCTGTAGTTGGTGCTGAACCTGAAAAGGGATCTCTTTTCGTAATTCCTAAGTGTCCCGTGGAAATACAAGAGCCAGTTGGGTAAAAGAAAGCTCTTAATGAGCCTCTTTGTTGTGCTTCAGAGTCTTTGGAATTGTTAAACTTCACTGTAGCTTAGAAGCCCGTCTACAATAGAGAGACAATTCCCGGGTCTGTGATGGACACATCCACTAACTCCTGTCGCTCTCTTTCCACTCCCTGCATCCTGCATCCGGAGCTCCACAAGTGCCTGTGTGCAGCACTCTGCGCCCTCCCTCCCCCACCAGACACACTTTTTTTTTGTCTTCAGTGCTTGATCTATGCTGTTTGCAGGTGGCATGGCGGTCCTCTGAGACAGACATCAATTGCAAAGATCAGAGTGGGCTGGCTTTTGAAGAGTTTTTTCACATTCTGCTTTGTAAGCCCGCTGAGATGTGGTGTTCCTTTCATGTTTCCTCTCCATCTGTCTCTCCAAAGGGCAAAGGGAGGGTCTTCACATGACTGGGGCTGTTGATGCTGGCTGCAAATTCATTTCAATTAATGTCTACATTTTTTGTCTTGGGCATCTAGCACCATTGCATTGCTTGATTTTTGACCTTGTGCTAGCAAGGCTTCCTGTGAGCAACAAGAGGAAAATTTTCTGCACCATCAGAAGAAAGAATAAAAGAATATCTCTCATTCATTATTGGGGGAGAGGGAGGTCTACTAGATGCTATGGAGTCTTATTTTGGTGATATTGGGTCCTAAGCAATAGTGTAAGTGTTACAGATCATATTCATTATCTAGGGAATCTCTTAGTGACCCCTCTTCAAGCAATGGTAATGTATTTATTGACACCCTGCTGTATACTAGGCTTTGTAGGTCTTCAAACACATCATTTCCTTTGGCCTAGTGAGTCCAAAGTCTTATCTCTTTGCCTGTCTTACCACCAGCCACACCTACTTTGGGACTTCCTTTCCTGGCTTCTTTTCACATTACAGTGCAGAGCTGAGTAAGTTGCCTCACACTAGATGGCCTTAAAAGCATAAAATATTTCAGATCTGGGGCTTTAAAAACAAATTGAGCCCCTGTACTGCACATGAACAGCAATCAGATCATTAACAAATAAGACAATTTATCTGGCTTGACATTGTGGGAATAATTCATCTACCACCTACCTGTTACCCCCTCCCTCCAGCCCCTCACCTTTCCTTTTTATTTCATTTTATCTTAAAAAATTTGTATGTTTTTGCAGAGGTGATAACTGCTACATAGGAGTCTAAATGCCAGTTAGTAATAGTGTAACTTATTTATATCTGGATTTCCTATCAGCAGTCTTGTAATAGACTATTTGAGATTCTAAACGGTTTAATGAAGCATACATATTTTTTGGGGGGAGCAACTTTCTTGAGAAGTCAGATTGTGTAATTACGTGAGGTGTAAGCAAGTTCTCATGCTCTTGCTGTGAGAGCAGAGATAGCCCTGCATCTTTGCCTGCTGCTGTGCTAATGCACGGGAGAATGCAGCCAAGATGGATGGAGAAGATGCTAATATCAGCCTGTGCACCTTGGGTTTATTGGAGCTTTGCTAGAAGGAAGTCAGTTGCAAGGCAGCAGATTTCAAATGTCAGGATACTTAAGAAACACTTTGGCGGTGCTTGTTAAGAAAAATGTAGATTCCCCAGACTAATTCTTGGGGCTGCTGAGGCGGTTAAGTGTTCTATTGATGGCTCTGATACTTATGAGAAAAAGCTAGCTGTGGGGTAATGTCTTAGCTCAAGGCAGTGATTTTAAGTAGTCCAAATAAGGTCATTATCCATGATGAGTTTTTAAATCCTGGTTCAGTTTATATTGAATGTGATGTAGCCATAAACTTTAAAGGCTTAAGTACATGTAACAGGAAGTAAAATTATGCCCCCGTGCTGTAAATGCTTCTTAACTACTTCCACCATCACTAATAATGACAACAACATTTCATGTTTATGCTTTGTAGTTACAAAGCTCCCGGTCTCAGCATCTCATTTGATTTTCACACCCGCTCTGGAGGTAAATGTGACAAGTGGTTATTTTTCATTTATAATGAGAAAACTAAAATTTATAAAACAAGTGATTTTTTTTTCCCCCAAATAGCTCAGTTATTAAGCTGGGCTTCTAGAATTTCCATACAGCATTTCAGGGTACCACATTGTTGTTTTAGAGAAAAATTATCCATCTCCTTTCACTGCCCTCTGACGGGCAGGATGAACTGTCCACAGTTGAAAAACTTGATGGTCGCTGGATGACAGCACGGAAGTGACCACATGTTAAAGAATTATTTTTATCATTTATTAAAGTGTAAGATCTGTGCACAAATATTAAAGAATAAATGGGGAACCTGAACAGAGTTGCAAGCTACTGGCCTCCACTTGCTCCTTGCTCCAAAAAGGGGTGGGGCCACCCGTACCTAGGATAAGTCCATTCCCAATGAGAACCCAGCCTCTTGGACCAAACATCACCTCTTAATTCACAAGCAGATCGGTGACAGAATTCCCATGACAACCACAGGTGCATGTAGTGTCAGTTGTTTTTATAAAGAGCATCCATAGTATGGAAAAAGAAACCTCCTTTTTTCTGACAGAAACTTTACAAGACTGGTCGGGAGATGCAGGAGAGGATCATGGACCTGCTGGTGGTAGTGGAAAATGAAGACGTAACTGTTGAGCTAATTCAAGTGAATGAGGATCTGAATAATGCCATCCTTGGATATGAGAGGTGAGCAGACAATGTGCCCTTTCACCCTCTTCTCAATGTAGTTTCACCACCATAGGGCCCTCATTCCGTCTGGAGAACCCACAAGAGAATAGTCTTTCTAGATCTTTTTTTCTCAATAGGAGTGGCATGGTGAATAGACTAGTGTTCTTTTGTGTGGCCACTGCTCCTCCCCCAAATGCCAGAGATGCTCCTCTGAGTTGAGGTGACTCAACAGACAGCCTTGGGAAGGTACTGTTACTGTTGAGAATTACTAGGGCTATTTCATTGTACAGTGGCTACATTTCTAACCAGCAAATGAAGAATGAGGTGAGTGGCATAAGAAAGAGGTGAGCAGGCCTAAACTCAAATCTAGATGATGTGAAATAAAATAGATAAGTTGCCTAACATTCTGAAGCCTTCCCCCCCAAAAAAACCCATAGAACAAAACAAAAAACACAAAAATTCTATCTTTGGAGGGGCTGATTTTATTTTTCAGGGGTAAATGAGATAATGCATATTACAAACAAATAACACAGTGGCATATTGACACTCATTACATTTTTGTGTGTGATGCTAGGATTGAACTTGGGACTCTGTCCTGGTAGTCTAGTGCTCTATCACTGAATTATACTCCTGATATTTCCCACACTGAATCACCATTTTTCCATCCTCATTCATGTTCCATTTAGACTTTAAAAATCACAAAGGTTTTCACTCTTTTTCTCCCCCGTGCCAACACTGAGGCAAGAGAATCAGGAAGAGAAAGCCAGCAGCTGTACTGTGGTGGTTCCTTTCTCCTTTACAGTCTCACATTCACTGCCTCTTAGGGACGGCAAGTTTTTGTAAGAAAACATGGCAGTGAGCCCCGTCACCATGCTCTTAGTACTGGACAGACTCACAGTCCTTGCCCTTTCCTGTGACATAAATCTCTGTAAGCAGAAAAATGTCCAAGGGTAACCCCGTGGTTTTCAGTCTTTGAGCTGATGTCTGGTTTTCATTTGGGACAATTCTGTTGCCAACCGTAAGACACTGGTTAAAGGCCCTCTCCAAGGAGGAACTTTTGTTTATTTGTTCTACATCAGGCATTTGGATTGCTTGTGTTGACTCTGCTCTGAACAGCATGTACCACGGTGACCGTGGTCCTTGAATTCTGAGAGAGAGAAAGGGGGCTCCTAGAAAAGATGCTTACCAGTTTTGTTTTTCTGCCACGAGCTCCATGGTTTGAGCAGCACAGATTTATTATTATTAGGTTATAAACTCAGTTCTCTAGGTTGGGAGATGCAAGTGTCTGTCTCTGGACTGGACTCCAGATGGCAGCAGGGCTGCCTTTCATTTTGGAGGTCCCAAAGGAGACGCCATCTCCTTACCTTTGCAGCCAATAAAGGCTGCCCGCTTTCCTTGGCCCATGACCTCTTTATTCCATCTTCAGTGCCAATACCTGCTTTAGAAAGGCCCCCATCTTAACACTCTTCCTGCTTCTTCTAAACCCTTCTTCTCAAGTACTGTTTTTATGACTACAGTGAGCGTGTCTCTTATATCCAAGAAAATCCCCTAGCCAAGGTAAACTTGCTAGCTGACATCATTCCCTCTGCAGTCTTCAGTCCCCCCAGTTTCAATCTAGCCTATAATAGTCACTAAGTGAAGTAGAACATGGGTATCATTAGAGGAGAACACTATTCTCCTTCTTCTAACAGTCTGGCCTCCAAGTCTCCAAAGGTTTACCTCCATCCTACCTGCAAAATATTTCCATCACTCCATTTAGAAGCATCTAGAACAGTGGTTTTCAACATTCCTACTGCTGCCTCCCTTTAATATAATTCCTCCTGTTGTGTTGACCCCCAGCCTTAAAATTATTTTTTTTGTTGCTACTTCAGAACTGTCATTTTGCTACTGTTATGAATCGTAATGTATTTTTGGAGATAGAAGTTTGCCAAAGGGATCCCAATCCACAGGTTGAGAATCGCTGGTTTAAAAACTGAGCGTGTTCAGATACACAAGTGTTTAGGCTTTTGGAGTCAGTGTTCAGATACAGAAGTGTTTAGGCTTTTGGAGTCAGTGTTCAGGTACAGAAGTGTTTAGGTTTTTTGAATTCAATGTGATGATGGTACTACCATAAGTTTCTGAAGCCATTTTCAATTTGTAAGCCAACTCCACATTTACTGCCTATATATCATCTATCACTCCATAGCTATGTGATTTTGCCTCTCTGAAGAAATGGCTCAAATGAGATTCCCATTTAGTGGATGGAACACTGAGGTTCAGTCAGATTCACAGGCATATAGGGAGTAGGGAGTAATGTGGTCTTCTTCAGCTTCACTGGTTTTTACACTCCCACTGTTCTAACTGCTTCCCTTTTACCTTGGTGGACAAGCAATGGGAAATGAAGCCCAAACTGTAAAAGATCAGTCTTTTTTTTTTTCCGGATCAAGTATTTAAAGATGCTACACTGAACACTGGACTACTTTTCATGCACTTGAATATTTTCTGTTAAGTTAATCCTTTGGCTGTTGTATACATACATAAAATTCACCCTGGTTACTCTTTCCCTCAGCCCTGTCTTTCTCTCCACTCGATCTATTAATCCTCCCATGCATACACACACACACACACACACACACACACACACACACACACACACACACACACCAATACCTCTCATGATTCCAAACTCATGATTTTGTTTATTTGTTTGTTTGTTTGTTTGTTTAGTTGAGCAACCCATTTAGTTTAATCAGGGCCATCTATGCAGCTGTTGGTTTGATTTCATGAAATTATTTATAATGGTGAAGTAAAGAACAACCTTATATTTGAAAATAAGAACTGGTGAGGGTGTTGTTGATTATTATGGTTAAAACATTATAGGCATTAGAAATTACAGTTCTAAGTGACTAGAAAAATACAACACAGTGGAAGTAGAATACAGAATTGCATAAAGTATAATTTCCACTAAGTTTAAAAGTAGCTAGACACAATAGCACATGCCTATAACTCTAGCACTCCAGACTCAGGCAAGACGATCATAGGTCTGCCCTGTGCTACATAGCAAAACACTATCTTAAAGTAAGTAAATTAATATAGAAATTAAGTCACTTAGAGAATACACAAACTGCTCATATTACTAGTAGTGCTAATTTCTAGAACAGAGGATTTATTAAGTTTTCTAAACTTTTCTATTTCCTCACAGTGTTTTCTAAGAAGGTTGGTACTCTATTAGCTAGAAGAAAGGGTTTTGGTGGCTGTGTTGTGGTACTGGGGACTGAATACAGATCTTTAAACTCTGTCACTAAGCCATATTCCCACCCCTAGAAGAGAGTTAGTTACTAAAGGTATTTTCCCTAGGATTGGAGAGGGGTGAGGCTTGGCATCACTACAGCAACTATCTGTGCATTTACTAATGCTAGGTTTTCTTTGATAAATGATGTTGCACTTTGCTGATTTAAACAGGTTCACTCGAAACCAACAAAGGCTTTTGGAACAGAATAGGAACTCGAAGGACGCCACCGATGTAAGTGATTAGAAATGGCATAACGTAAACGATCAAGTATCTTATTAATTATCCTTCAGGAAGCAAAGAATCCCTAGAAACAGTTCTTTAAAAGAGGAAGCACACAGTGACAACCTGCCACGTCTTTGGCCATGTGGTTTCCATCTTAAGTTGTTAGACGGGTCTCTTAATTAAGGAAGGACTCATGTGCTTAGTGAGATGGAATTTGAGCTGTCATGGTCTGAAGTTTTCCTCAGAAAATTTCCAAAGGAATGGGTGTAGAGAGAGCCAGAAGAAGTTGCATGATTTCCCCCCTAAATTGTCTCTGCTTTGTTTTCAGACTTCCAACGAGCCCTCTGCTCCTTCCTGCGATCTTCTTGATCTTAGTCCCATCGTGCCAATGCCTATGTCCAATGGGGAAGCACTCCACACCGTCAATTCTCAGCTTTCAGCCTTAAGTAAATAAGCCACTGGGCCTTCTCTCACCAGTGTCAAGCCTGATAGGAGATAGTTGTCCTTGGTTTCCTAGTTGAATGCCTCTGGAGAGGGACAGACGTCAGTCTGACTATCAGAGATGTAATCACTTCCCTGCAAAATGGTTGGGTTAGATTCAGCAAACAAATGGGGTGTGTGGGGGAGGGTTTTGGAACTCGTCCCAATCGCTTAGAATCCCATGAAGTTTACCTGACCTGCACAGGTTTTGCTCCTTGATAGCCAATACTTAAATCTCCTCTAGACATAGACTATTATTGTTAGATTTCTCTGCTGTACCACAGCTCAAAGGAGGGAATAACTGATGCGGACAAAGGAATTCAGGAATTAGGAGGAAAGACTGGATGGGAGTGAAATGTGAAGGTGTAACGAGAGATGATCCATAGTCCGTAAGGTTAAGATATCTTTATTCAGATAAACACTAGCCAAATGTAAGCCAGAGCATGCCAGGGGCAGCAAGGCAGACCAGCCAAAGAACAGGGGCCCCATGTGCCTTGCAGCCCCTTAAAAACCTATCATGCGTCATTCTGACCTCACCTTGACAACACCCTGACAGGCGTGGTCAGGCACACCGGTTGCCAGCCCTTAGGAGGCGTGGTTATGGTGTCTCCCTACTTGAAGGCAGTTAGAAATGCAAGTTGTAGGTCCAGTCCATTTCTGTCTCCTAACCTTTGAGACATCTGCGTTCTGAAGTGAAGCCGTGGTTCCCTGTGAAGATGTATGAAATGATGTTAGCAAAATGCACTTAGGCTTGTAGTCACCCACCCTACCTACCTTTTAGTATCTCCTATCCTTGTTTCCAGTAAGTTTTCTTATGCTACAAAATAAGCAAGATGAGAAAAAGAGATCTACAATTCTAGTTCAGCCGAACCGTAATTTGTTTTTCTCTTACATTTTGGTGTTTCCACGGCAAAAGTATGCAGTATGGAGTTTGTGGTTTCCTTACAGCTCTCTTCATGTCTGAAATATTGGCGGCTTGCTTATTATGTAAGCTAGTGAGATTTGTGGAACCACTTGTCCTGGAGAGTTTTCACGGATTCTTATTACGAATTTTGAGCAAAGGAAGATAATTATTCCCTTTCAGTGTTTTAATAGTATGGGAGTTTAAGAACTTAGAGGTGAAGGCTGAGCTCTCTGCAGAAATTCTAACTGTTCACTTTTGTGCTAGGCAGAAGACATGTGCAGTCCTTTCCATTTTGGGTCAGCTTGAGATTTTGGAAAATCCAATATATAATATTTTCCACTTATGACAGCCTCTTTTTGTGGCAGGGATTGTTTTTGTCTCTTTCTCTGTCCCCTATAAATGAGGCTTTTTAATCTGTCAGAGGAATCCCTATGATTTTATGGCGACAGAAGTATCTAAGCCAATCTCCTTCTTTAACTGTGGAAAACCGAGGATAATAATGATGGTAGCCATGCACATGGTAAAAATTGCCTTTAAAAGACTAAACCAATGGATTTTATATTTTAGGTGTCAGCTCTCCAAGTCCTGTTGTAACAAACAGCTTGTATCCCAGTCTTCATCCACAGGTGGATTTGCTAGCCTCGGAAAATACAGAATTACCCTCCCTGTAAGTATGTCAGTGATGCCAGAGAACTAATGCTATGATTTGTAACACACATAATAAAAATCTAAAGACAGATATTGGGGTTTAAGCTAAAGATCAGAAAAGCAAAGCAGCCAAGCCACCTGAGAGCTCTTACCTCTACCAAGGCTGGGTTGATCCTGTCTTCAACATGGCTGGAGACTAATTGCCTCAGACTGAAAGGGTGATTCTGTCTCCACGAATCCTCAGCATGTCTGGAGACTAATTGCTCTGAGACCGTGCTCCTGTCTTATATGCCTCTAATGCTGGGGTTACAGGCATGGGATCCCAAGTGCTAACATCTCCTTTGTGTGAGCTCTGTTTCTCTTTTAGACTGATTCACTCTCATGTAGCCCAGGGTGGCCTTGAACTCACAGAGATCCATCTGCCTGTTTCTGAGTCCTGGGATTAAAGGTAGATGCCATGACTGCCTGGCCTCTATGGCTAATTAGTGTAGCTGCTAAGATTAGAGGTGTATACCGCCACTGCCTGGCCTATACAGCTGTGGCTAGCTTTGCATTCTGATCTTCAGACAAGCTTTATTGGATGAGAAACAATATATCACCACAATGGCATTCTGCTTCCTTATGTAAGAAAACATGGTGTTGTGTGACACTGTTTCTTGGGAGGCAGGATCAAGCATCTACTTACCCAGATAAGGAAGCTACAACAGACCAAAGTACAAATACTACCCAAGTCCAACTTGGTGAACTATGAGTTTTATTGGTGTTACTTACAGGAACGTTGGTGAGGGGTTACTTACAGGAGCAGAAATGACTCAAAGCTACATCACCAAAAAGCCCACCCCAGCATGGGTGGCAGACACTCATGAAAGCTGGGAATTCGACTATCACTGTACAACCTGCAGCCATCTCAAAAGGATAGTGTCTCTCTTTCAGGCATTTCATTGTTCTGGTATTCTTTGACAGCTTGGCTTCTCTCTGTTTCTTCTAAGTGGCTTATCTGGTCTTACCTTCTTCCAAGTAGCTCTGCTAGTCTGCAGCTCTTCAAGGAAGCTCCTTTTGTCTGAGAGTGTCCCTCAGCATCCCTTACAGCTTATATACTGGGAAGGTTGGGGTGGGCGGTGGGGGAGCTAGTGAATCTATTCAGTTTCAGTGACTTCCTGAAGCTATTGAGTTGGTTATTTCCTAAGCATGAGAAGATTTCCTACAGGATAGAATGTTTTGCCTCCCCTTGGAATATCCTGTTGTTTTGCCGCCCCTTAAGCATCCTTTGTTTTAAGGAACCTCCCTCCAAGATGGAAGGTTTAAATCTTAGAGGGAACTGCTACACAACAGATGGTACAGAAAAATAGAGACAACAGTCAGACAGACCTGTGTCAAAGTCTTAGCCATGCGTCCATTTAGCAGTTTGGCATAGCAGGAAATGTTAGCCACTGTGAATTAATTTTCCTCTAAGAATACTTCTAGGATTCACACAACGTCCATGAAATGTAAATAAAATTCCTAAGGTAGCACTTACTACACTCCATAATAAACATTCAATATATCCGTTTCTCTGATTTTGTTCATGGTAGTCAGTTATGGGAAATACAGTGACAAAGGAAGGTTAACAATGATTTTTAAAACTGGTGAGAGCAATGGCCACACAAATTTCATGAAATTGCCTACATATAACAGTGCTCTGTACTTTGTTGATTTTATATAATTATTTGCCAAAGTATTTTTTAGTTTGTGTCATAATTCATTATTCCTTTTGTAGAGAAGAGGGAACTAGGACTTAGGAATGGAACTTGCCAAAGTTGACACAGTAATTGGAAAAATCACCAAAAACCAAGTATCAGTGGCTCATAAACATTTGTATTGATCTTCAGATTTCTTAGAGATTTCTTAGAGAACTGTCAGTAAAACAAAAAGATAGGTTAGTTGATTGATTTTATCTTTTTTCTTTTATGATGTTTCACTCTAGTGTAGGCTGACCCAGAACTCACTAGGCTCAGGCTGGTGGTAAATTCTCAATAACCTTCTGACCTCAGTCTCCTGAGTGCAGGGACTATGGTCATGAACCATCGTGTTTGACATATATTTTGTTTTTACCTCTCAGATTGGCCAAAGTTGAAATGTTTGATAAGAATTCATTGGCTGTAGAAAGAGATACAATCAAAAAATTATGTAACTTTATAGGGGACAGGTGACAATAATAATAAATGAACACTGCATTTACTTTGGACATGTGATCTTAAATCTAGAAAGTTATGCTCATACACTTAGGTATTTATAAGATGTTTCTTTATGATATGGTGGGCAATGGTAGCTAATAAATGTAAGATTCATTAGTTGGGGACTGGTCAAATAAATAGCTCTGTAATATGTGATTACTGTATAGCTAGGGGAACAAGGAGGCTCTTTACATAAGAAGCTATCTTTACTGTCACACAGGAGAAAAGATGTCAAGTAGTGTGAGTATACTATATTGTTTTTATGTAAGAAAGTGGCGAAAGGATAATATGTGTTAATATTTGTATCATTTTGCATAAATTGCAGAAAAACAAAAGGTGGTGACTTAAGTGTAGCGATAGGCAGAATAGATAAGACTAAAAGAATAAATAGGCTGGATTTGTCACTAAAGTTTATTTTTCCATACACAGAAGCATGCATGTGAGCGCTCGTGCGCACACACACATACACACACAAACACACACACACACACACACACACACACACACACACACACACACCATATATTTCAAGAAATAGGTAACACATTTCCATGAAACTGATACCAAAATAACATAAATATATATAAACACAATTTTTTTATTTTTTTTTATTTCATTCTCTTTCCTTTCTCTGGTGTTATACTGCATCTGTTAGTTGGTTGGATTGTTATCTTTCCAAGACATATTTAGGTAACAGAGAATATCAATTTATTTCTCCTTTGTTAAACAATTAATTGCTTTTCTATACTTAAAAGAGAGAAGACTGTAGAGACTAGAATGAAAAACAATTAAACAGGGAATTTCTTCTAAAAGGCAAGGAACAAGTATAAGGAAAGAGGGAAAAGGTCATATGCTAGGAAATGAAGGTCACGACCTCATGGGTTGTCAAACTGAGACTGCACCATTGGCTGGCTATCTCTGGTCTTGGGCCTACAGTACAAGCACATCCTGAAATGTTGTGGGCCAGTTTCTAGTTGAACTGCTTGCTAAGTAACTGTTTTCCTGTCATCCTGCTAACCTTGTTGGGTAATATGAGAATGAATGAGTGATGCAGAAAAAAAATTTCCCTGGCAGCAAATGTCTCCATGAAACTTTACTAAAGAAACAAAAGCTCAGCTACCAGTGTTCAGTTTAATGTACACGATTTCAGATCATACTCCAGTATTCGGAAATCACTAAGATGACTGCTAATGTCACATAGTGAACTTGAGCACAGATCACATATCATATTTCTAGCCCCATAGGTTCTGCCTCAGTAGCACAAATCTTAGTTTTCACAACAATTACTAGTTGCTTAAAAAAAAAAAAAAGTTGTGTCGAACAGTTGTTTCTCTGTAAATAAATAAGTTTTTGTTTTGTTTCCTCTTCTTTAGTTTTGAGCAGTTTGATGTGTGGGTGTGATTTCTTTTGACGTGCTTGTGTACAATTGGCTGAGTACATTAGTTTCCTATGACTGCCATTTTACAAGCTCCCACAGATTAGATGGTTCAAAACCACAGATAATATTATCTCATAGTTATGCAAGCAAGAAGTCTGGAATTGAGTCTCTCTGTCATTTTTCAGTAACAATTTGTCCTCTGCCTCTTCCTTGGTGACTCGGTATTCCTTGGCTTCACTGGCTTATTGGCTATTCCAATTTGTGCCTTCACCTTCTGGCCTCTCTTATAAGCAACTACAATCTCACTAAGCTCACTAAGGGATCACTGTCCCTAGGACTTGAAACCAAATCAGATCATCCAGGTGACAACTGCATCTGAAGATCTTTAACTACATGGAGATCTCTTTTCTGAGTAAGACAGCACAAGTTCTAGGCATTATAACCTTCAATTCACTACACAGACATTCTAGAATCTGAGTTTATGTCTTTCACCAAATACTTTTCAGCCTTTGTTTATTTGTAATTATTTCCAGTGCTGCACACATTCTGCTTTCCTGCTGGGATTGTGGAAACACTTGTTGGGTGGTGGTATCTCCTAAGTGTTTTAGGGCCACTTGATTTGTCTCTTTCACTCGTGTTCACTCTGGATCATGCCTGTGATCCATGTTCAGGTTCATTAACTGTTCTGTCATCTCCATTTCACAATGAAACTGATTTGAAGTTTGTTTCTAATTTGTTACTTTTTTTCAGTTTTAAAATTTCCACTTTGTTATTGATGTGGTCTCTTTGTTAACTGACACTTTCTATTTTTCCAATTTAAGAGCATTATTGAATGCTTGCTTCTTGGAATAGTTGTACCGCAATGGCTGCCTTAAAATCTCTTTGGGATAACTCCAGCATTCATGTTCTCTTGGTGTTCATTTCTGTTAGCTGTCTTTTTACTACATTAAGGTTTTTTTTTTTTTTTCTTTTTTTCTTTTTTTTTTTTTCTGGCTCTTTTTCTGCCTAGTCATTTTGAGTTACATCTTTGGCATTTTAAAATTTTTATTAGTACATGCTAGGTTTTGGTAAAGTCTACTCTATAATGTTGATATTTTGATTTTATTAAGCAAAGAGTTAGATTCACTTCATAATTTCAGCGTGCCTCTGTAATATGGGGTTTGAAAATCAATCCCACCTGTGTACTACCCTGTGGTCAATCAGAAGTCTAGCAACAGGTTGTGTGTCCACTTCTCAATATTTTGGCATTATTATGAAAATCAGAATTGTTGACATTAAAAACAAATCAATCTTATGATTTCATAACAACCTTACAAGATTGTTTTCCTGAATTCTCTCACTTTGTCCTTTCTCTGGCATTCTCTGGTGTCCCGGAGGTCCCCTCCTCTGTTCTCTGGCCATCTCATTATCTAATTACCCAATCTTCATTCTTCTGCTGTGCTTTCTCCAGACAAATGGGGGGGATGGAAAGAAACAACTGCTATCCCCATGCTTTTGATGTCACACCTTAGCCAACTGAGAGGAAGTTTCCCTCCAGTTTACTCTTCTGCCCATCCCTGTTGCCTCTGAAGCCACAGCAACCACCATGAGGTTGTCTATGTTGGGATGTAAAGATGGGTCAGAGGAAGCTGGGGTGTCTTTCTTGCTCCCTATATGCAAATGAGTGCTTTTCTTGGAGTTGTGTTATCACTTATGCCTGTATCTAGGGTTCAGGCTACATTCAGATCAAAAGTAAATTCGACAGTAATACTTTAGCAGCACTTAAATTTTGGTCTTTTCCCAATCAGCCTGCTACTATCTTCACAACCCTCACTAGCTTTACTGGTTTTTGTTTTCCAGCTTTTATAGTGGCATTAGTAATGGGATAAAATGTTTTTTCCACTCCACTTTAACCAAGAATGGGAATTCTCCCATCTTTCCTAAGTTTTGCTGGGCACTGCTTCTCATCTTTCAAGATTTAATGGGTGGTAGCTACGGATGGAACGACTGAATGCTGGGTTTTCACTAATGTACTGTGCACTCTCCAGGGCCTCAAGTCCACTATTGCCAAAGACTGGTGTGTTGGCTGTGTTTGCTTTTGAGTTTCATGCCCTGGAGGGTGCTGAAACCAGATGGCAATTCTTATCATTTTGTGAGTGTAAGGTGGGGTGTCATTTTGTGTAGTGCTTAGTTGTTTGGCAAGCTTTGTTTTCAGACCAGGGAAATCATCTTACTTTTTGCGTTTGTGTTCTCACTGTAGGGTAATCATGCTGTGTTATCACACTATCCTAGGTTTGCCCAAAGGACCAGCCCAAACCTCGCCTCAAGTCACACATATGATAATGTGAGTAACGAAACCCTTTGTTATCGGGTCACCTAGTCAGGAGAAAACCATGACCAAAAGCATTACACACCTTTACAGTGGGTTGACACAGCCATTGTTGGCAACCTTAATCTTTTTAGATAGACAAATTTTATTTTACTTTTCTTAAGCGGGTTAAAGATCATGATGTCTTGGAATTTAACTCAGTGGTTCAGCACCTGTCTAGTATCCCCAAGCTCTAAGTTTGATCCCCAGCACTGTAAGAAAAAAAAAAAAAAGTTATAGGTCCTTTAACATTGTTATTGTTTATGTTTGGAAAAATTTCAGAGTTGTTCGTCCCTCCATCTCTAGCCCTTGTGAAGGTCATCGGTGTGTTTCACGTAATTAAACTAGTGCTTCAACTCTCGTCCTAGCCTTAACAGTTAGTCACTTGCTCTTTTGTGTACATGTGACTCTCACACACTCCTTACTTCTCTCCGTCTCTTTTTGTGGCCCCCTTTTCACTCCTGATACTTCAATATCGGGAACCTTAGGCCCAGACTTCCCTTTCTATCTTATCTACCTGGTTCCTTTAGAATCTTCTATTTCCCCCTTCTTCTCCTTTGAGACAGGGTCTCCTTGGCCATGAGCTCCTCAGCCTCATCCCTTTACCTCCGAAGTAATGGGATTAAAGGCATGCACTACCATGCCTAGCTTTGGTTCCTGCCTTACAATAACCAAGACTTGACAATCAACAAATGTTTATCTCCAGCCTAGCCCCTGCTCCCTGAACTCAGAATTCTATCAAGTTTGCATGCGCTCCCACGCTTTTCTTCCCAGAACCCTCTGCCAGCTCTTCTAGCAGACTCTGTACCTCATTAAATGGTCAGTGCACTTTATCAGGTGCTCAGGTAGCAAGCCTTGGTAAATATCACTTGACCTCCCGGTTTACCTTGTTTTGAAAGTATGTTCACTGTCCTCCACACCTCACCTCTCCACCTTCCCACCCCAATTTAAGTGATCATGCAGTGGACACTGTAATAACCTCCCCGGGCTTGTTTTGTTTAAGCTCTTGCCTGCCGAGGTTTCTCTCCCACCCCTTCCCACGTCATAATGTACTCTTAAAACACAAACCAGAGCACTCTCCCCCAGTCATGCCACTCATCTGCCCAAACCCCACCTGGCTGTCTCCTCACTGCTTTTGTACATGCCTGGAATGCTGATCTTACCCTACCCATTACCTCTCCTGCCTCACCCCTGACCTATCTTGGCCTACTATGCTTCAACCATAATAACTTCCCTGACTTCAGAGCCTAGAAACATGTATTCTCTAATAATCAGTCAGTGCTCTGCCAGAATGTCCCCAATGATGAGGCGTTCCGTGTCACCAGGCTGTGAGAACAGAATCCCACTGTACCTCTCTTCTCCCCGTTATCCTGCTCTTTCACTATAGAACAGGTCACTGGACACCGATTTCCACTTCTTGTCTGATATAGCAGGTGTTTGGTCTGTTTTATTTCTTGTCTTAGTAGTGCCTGGCAGCTAATACGTGACATACTTTTATGATGAAGTAAATTAGAAAATGTGTTTTTGATTTTTGAAAAAGGGTTTTGCTATGTTGATGGAGCTATACTCAAATTCCCCATTTTTCTGTCTTGGCCTCTCAAGTTCTATCTTTATTTGTGTATGCTAGCTAAACCTGGAGGAAGGAGAGCTACTTACCTGTATCAGTCTTGATTTGATAGCATCACTGCACGGCTGTTTGTCAACTAAACTTCATTCCTGTTCCAGGCTGAGATTTCATATTCAGGGTAAAACAGAAGCTATATTGAGCCACACAATTCCAATTTTTCCTTAAAGACAGTATTTTTAAATACATTTTACATCTTATGTGGGAAATGGAATGTAATGAGCATGAAACCATGCAGACAATTTTACAAGCAGTTATTACTTTAAAATGAAAGTAGTAAAAATGACTACTTTGCACCCAATTGAATGTATATGGCTCTTGGAGCAATGCCATTAGGAAGCCTGGAAATCTAAGTAACAAAAATGCTTCATGTAGAATGTATGCCTGAACATGTGTTATGCTTTCTTCAGTTTCTGGAACACTCCAGTTCAGTATTACTACAGCCTGTTAGCCTACAGACTGCCACAGCAGCTCCAGCCAGCCAGAGGCTGCCAACCTTGCCCAGCAATCATCCAGGTACACAAGACTCTATACTTCGCAATAAATAAGCCACTTTGTGAGAATGCTGGACTCTGCCAAAGATTAATTCGGAGAGCTCATTGTACTTCGAAGCCACACATAATAAACACAGGGCTGACCACCATTATGATTAGGAGATTTTAAAAATACTTGTGGTGGCCTGGCGTTGGTGGTGCATGCCTTTAATCCCAGCACTCGGGAGGCAGAGGCAGGTGGATCTCTGTGAGTTCGAGGCCAGCCTGGTCTCCAGCGCAAGTGCCAGGATAGGCTCCAAAGCTACACAGAGAAACCCTGTCTCGAAAAACCAAAAAAAAAAAAAAAAAAAAAAAAAAAAAAATGTGCTGAACTGAATGTTATATCTGGTTCACACTAAAATACATGAAATTTTAAGTTGAGGTTTGGAAATTTTTTTATGTATAGGCCTCATGGAACTTAGTAGCATTTGAACCATTTTGGCTGTATTTGTTAAGACTCATATATTTATATTCTAAATATGTCAGACCATTAATTGCTCATGTCTTTTTCTTTCCTATCACGCACCTGAAGTGATAACAAACAATGATCTCCAGCCACCCAATTACTACGAGGTAATGGAGTTTGATCCCTTAGCTCCTGCTACAGAGTAAGTCATTTATAAAATTATTAATTTATGCTTGGTCGCGGTTCCCTTTGATGACAGTGCTAACTGAGCTTAGCCATTCATTTAACTTTGTTTAGCTCTTGGCAGAAATTTATGGCCTTATTAAAAGTGATTTATGAGGTTTTATAGTGGCTATTGCTCTTAATGGCCTTACTGTTCTCAGACCATGACTGAAAAATAAAAATGCTAGGGTCACATATTAAGAAGTAACTGGAACCGACATTCAACACAGATTTGGTGGCAAGTGTTTCTCTAGCTGGAGAAGGACACTATCTTTTGCTGGCATGTTAATGCCACATTTTAAAACTGTTCCCCCTGAACTGAATCAAAAGACATGTGAAAGAACTTCTTGTGTTCAACATGGCAAAAATATCCTTACAAGTGACCACTGATATTAAATTGCTTTATAGCCAGGTATAGCCATACAGTATTTCAGCATGTAGGAGACAGTAGTAGGAAGATCGCAAGTGAGGCCAGTGTAGGTGACAGACCTTGTCCAAAAGGAAAGTAAAAATGCTTTAACTTGAAATTCTTCAGGAACCATCACTTAATGATTTCCTGTTTGTCAGGCTGTATATGGGATGGTCAGCACATTATTTTATATTTATTTGTCTGCATGTATGTCTGGGCAGCACATATGTACCTCTACCTACAGAGACAAAAAGAGGGTGTCAGATCTCCAGGCCATTGTAAACTTTTTTGTGGTGCTGGGAATTGAAACCAGGACCTGTGAAGAACAGCCAGTGCTCTGCACTGCTGAGCCATCTCTCCAGTCCTCTAGTATAGATTCAGTATCTATTCTTGAGTGGGATGATTACCCCCCAAATTGTGAAAAATGCTCAAAATGAGTTTTTGGAAATCACTATTCAGAAACTGGCAGCCTGGAGTCGGTATCTCATCCCCAGCTGTAGTTCGTTTGGCCTGTGTAGAATTTAAAATGTGCCGTTTAAAAATCAATTACCAACAGTTAAAAACTAGTATGTCCACATAGTACTTCTCAAGATTTGGATTACTGTAGAAGCACCAAGTCTGTGTTCCTAATGTTAGCAAAGGTGGTGATTGTAACGAATATCTGTCTGCTGTACAGATGTTCTGAAGTTCACCATGTACCAATGACTGCCAATTGGAGCAGGTTTTCTTGTACCACCAGCTCTCCCTCAGTTAGGGCACAGGGATTTATTATTAGTTATTAATGGTCAGCCTTAGTTTAGGCTTGCCCCACTAGCTCTTAAAACTTATTTTAACCTGTTTTTCATCTGTTTTGCCTTGGTGCTTTGTACTTTTTTTTTTTTTTTTCATGTCCTGGCACATGTAAGCATCAATATAGTGTCACTTATTTAAGTCCTTTGGGTAGACAGCCATTTTGGCAATTAGCAAACAGTAATGGACCCAGGAGACCTTCCTGCCCTGACCTGAGTGCTGGGATTACAGCCATGTACCACCACACCCACCTGCTAGGCACTTTAACTCAGGATGATGGAATTTCTCTCGGTCAAGCTTGATAAAGTAGCTGTGTCACTGAACTTATGTAGTTTTGTAGTTAAAGAAACTGGTACTTAAATTCCATGTCCAGATATGTCAGGCATATTTAGATTAATTAATTGCTCTAAGTAGGTATGTGGTGTCCTAGGTACCATAGGTGAGATGGTCAGTAGGGAGCTGGAGAAGAAACTCTTTATCACTGTGGTTTTTGCTTCCTGGAAACTTAGAGCCTCAGTTCTGTTGAAGGTCTCATGAAATCCAGGAACTCCTAAGGAAAATTAGAGACTCTTGGAAGTTCTGGAGTTTCCACATCACTGGTTGGCCAGGAATCCCAGGCCAAAAACTTTCTTTTTGTTCCATGTATTTATATATCTTCAGAATACACAATTCTCTTGAACATTTCATGAACACTCAAGGATGTTACTGTTACATAATTTTGAACAAGACATGCTCTCATAACATTAAATGTAATGTGGAGAAGGAAGTTAAACAAATTGGCAGGCAAATACATGTGTCAATAGTATGAAAGGGTTTAGTTACTAAAGTGAGTATGTTAGGAAGAACTAACGTAAATGAAGGCTAGAGGGAACCATAGGAGGCAGCATTATTAATTTTTGTCAAATCTACAGAATAACTTGAATAGAAACCCAGTAGAAAGCTTTAGCACAGGCTGGAGAGATGGCTCATCGGTTATGAGAACTGGCTGCTCTTCCAGAGATCCCGAGTTCAATTCCCAGTAACCACATGGTGGTTCACAACCATCACTAATGAGATCTGATGCCCTTTTCTGGCCTGCAGGGAAACATTCAGACAGAACACTCTATACAAAATTAAAAAAAGAAAGAAAGAAAGAAAGCAAGCAAGCAAGCAAGAAAGAAAGCTTTAGCACATACAGTGAACTGGAAATGCCAACAAGGACAATGAAGAAAGTAATAGGGAACCTAGTGCCAGGTGTGGAAGTTTAACCTGCACCTGGCTATAATGAACACTACCCACAGTACAACCAGGTCAAGAACAGAAAATCAGATGTTGGATTCATTTACATGAAAATAGGGTTTATTAAAAGCTATTTTAGTGAAATTAGGGACAGAAGCCGCATTTCAATGTAAAAATTAAGTGAAAATACATAGAAATAACTTACAAGAACTTAAGTGTAAAGACAGGGCTGGCTTGGGAAATAGAGGATTATTGAGGTAGGTCTAGTAGCTATGTGAAAGACTGCCTGGTATAAAAAGTGGAGCTACTGAGGGTAGAAGCTAGTATAGAGGGGGAAGTTGAAGATTTGGATAAGAGGGCACTTACTGAAGAGGTGTTTGAGAAGATAGGTTGACAGGATTGTCCAGGTAAAGGGCGATTCACATGACAATAAATTGTAGGGATTGAGAAAGAACAGTGAAGTTTCCACATTAAGATGGGAAACTTATTAAGACATGAAGTTTCTTCCTGAGAGATACTAAGATTAGTGGTTTAGAGGGTAAAAGGTAAAATTACTCCATGGAAAATAAGTCTAGAATTTTTAGAAACAGTAAAATTTATGGAGTTGGTTGCTTTGGTTTTGTTTCATAGTGCTGTTATTTTGGGAGGTTTCTCCCAGCTGTGTTTTGCTATATTCTATATATGAATGCCACCTTTGGGTACAGATATTTTTGAGCTATAAAAATACAAATAAGAAACTGAGTAAGTTATTAAAATTATAATTTATTAAAGGTACAAAGATAACCAACACAAGCTAAAGGTTACTCCCAAGTTTAGGATATAATACCGTGTTAAATAAAGCAGACTGTTATTAATTTTTTGATTGATTTACTTTTATTTTATGTGCACTGATGTTTTGCCTTCATGTATGTCGGTGTGAGATTATGGGATCCCCCATACAGACACTTGTGATTTGCCATGTGGGTGCTGGGAATTGAGCCAGGGTCCTCTGAGCCATCCTTCCAGTCCCTAATATTTTTTAAATATTTTAAATTAGATTTTTTTTTAAGTTAAAAAAAAGTCAAACTGCCCAAATTTGAACCATAGTTTTCCTTTAAATCAGAAGTAAAAATAAATTGGCCTTTACTAGGCATGGGAAAGAACTCTAACAGTAGATGTTTTATGTTAGAATAAGCTCAAGCATAAAGATCTTTTTATTCACTTAAGATGCCTCACACCCCTCCTCCCAACTCCCAACAGCCTGTATTTTTAGTTTTGATGGTGTTAATATAGTACTTTGCAACTGATATGTAATTCTTCTGTCTTGGTGGCTTTGTTTCAGAGCTGTTTATGAAGAAATTGATGATTACCACCACAAAGGAGCCCAAAGTCATAGTGACTGCTAAGGTACAAAAAGAAAAAAAAAAGGGGGGGGGGAACACCAGCTTATGCAACATAAGATTCCACATAATTCAGTAGGATTATCACATTTTGTATTAAATTCCCTAAGCACCATTTAAGTCTGACACTTAGTACAATACTAAGTTCCTCTGAACTACTCAACACTGATCAGTGCTCATTAATGACAATCTCCATGACCTTATCTAAAAATGAGGCACAGAAATACAAAAGGTGGTTTCTGTGTGCAGTCCACACCTGTTACGTGGACCAAGAGAACGCATCAATATGCTCCTGCATCAGTTTTCCTATTTACACACTATTTAATGCCTGCTCTCCACTTTTATTCTTTCACATTCCCAACCATGGAAGAAGTGCATTCCAGCCTTCCCTCTGCTTAACTGTGGCATTCCAGTCTTCCAGGAGTGCAGGAGATGGGCCAATGTCTTCCCTTTATTTCAGATGTATGATCGGCTCATTAGCAGTACAAAGGGCCCACTCTTTAAAGTAGTCCCTGCTCAACTGAGGCCTGAAAGAGAAGACCTGCTAACAGAAAGAAAGCCAGTGGACCACTTCTCCGCTATAATGAAGCTTCAACAGAATAGTTAACATTTCTGGGCTAACACTGCTGTTCCTGACAATGGCTCAGGATTTCAGAAGCTGGATATAACAAGGGCAACTTCAGCAGAAGGAAAACTGCCTGGTACTAGTCCAGCTGGTTGAATTGTAGACTTACGCTGCGCAGGCATTCCTACCAACAGCAATCATCACAGACCTACAAGGGTACTTGAAGATCGTCCTGCTATCAAACATTGTGAACAGATGGGGCAGGAAGTGAAGAAAGTGAGTGCCTTCATTTAACTGAATTTGAATGTAGATGTCAGTTTGCACTTGTTTATAAATAACACTTTGGTTTAAACTTGATGACTTTTTTAATTATACTTCAAGTGCCTGAGCAGGCCACTGCATCAGGTGGCCTTTATAATGTTAAACATTCTTGCCTTTTATTATCAATTACATTTTGATTTGAAACAAAGGCTACTGGAAAACACTTAAAATTAAATGACTATTATTTGTCAGAGTTCTGTTGTTTTTATTTCATTTTTTACCTCAGAAGAGCTTTATATCAGTAAGTCTTCACAATTTCATCCCTACATCTTACATTGATGAACTTGGAATTATGACAGTAAATGATAGAGCATAGTCTAGCAGGTGAAATTCTTCTGTCAGATTTTATCACCATTTCCAAGTCATTGTCTATTCAGTACTCTGAATAAAGCAGACCTGAAATTTCACAGGAAAAGCCACACTTGAATTAAGAATGCACACTTGGAGCAAGCTGATAGAGCTGAGTGATTCCTCTTCCACTTACAGTTTTTAAAACTGTCAGTTCAGCCAAAGACGGCTCAGCAGGCAAAGGCATTTGTTGCCTTGCCTGCCGACCCTGATTCCCGAGACCCATGTGATGAAAGAAAACTGTCCCGCACAGCAAGTCCACTGACCACCAGCACATGTGTGCTGCAGCATGGGTGCCACTCATCTTCCCTACGCATTCACAAAATAAATAAACAATTTTTAAATAGTGTCAGTTTACACCGAAGGAAAGTAGCAGCCACCCTTGCTTATTGATAAGTTCTATGAACGAAAACAAACCACCTGTGCATATTTTCTTTTTCTAAGTTTTCAGATACATTGTTAAAAGTATGAAGGGCTAATACTATGGAAGGCACCTATAGAATTAAACTCAACTACTAAAGCAGTTTGTGTGTGTCTATGTGTGGGCAGCCACAGCACGCATATAAAGTTAAGGAGTTCTCCTGCCTCAACCTCCCATCTCACTGTAAGGACTCTGGGATTGCAGATGCCAGCTACTCCATTCACTCTTTTACAGCTGGTTCCAGGAACCAGAACTCAAGTTGTCAGGCTTATGGGGCAAACAGTTTAACCCACTGAGTCATCTTCCTGGCCCCTCAGGTGGTTTTTACTAGTCATACATGTGGTACACTGGACAGTCAAATATTCTTCATAGGCTTGGTGAACAACATTCCTGCTCTATTACTTAACACAGAGCAAATGTTCTTTTCCTGCCCTTAAGTACCATCACAAGACAGCAGCATCTTTTCTTTACAGACTGAGTTTTGAACCTATTCTCTCAGTCTTAAATGGGATAAATGAAGTTGGAAAGAAAGAGAACCATTTAAAATACAAGGTTTCAATATACATTACTGTAGAATATTTCTCTTCTGAGAAAGCACAATACATGATTTTCCAAAAATCACAAATCTGAAGCAAGTCTTGGAAGCTACTTCAATTATAGCCCGGAACTGGCAACTTGTGCCCTTCCTTTGCTTCAAAAAAAGTGTAAGAAAGAGTGATGAGATCAACATTCACCATTCTTGGATCTTCTGCAAATTCAGGATCAATGTAGAAAAACACTGGCATATCTACTTCTTCCTGTGGATTAAGCCTTTGCTCTTCAAAGCAGAAGCACTACAAATTATAGAAAGATACTTGGTTAGTAAAACTCTATTACTTAAAACAAAGCAATATTCATTCTGCCCTTAAACACCATCATAGGACAGCAGCATCTTTTCATCACAGACTGAGTTTTGTTTAAAGGGTTAGGAAACAATTTAATTCTAATCTTAGAAGCAAATACAGTAGCCAGGTGTAGTAGTGCAGCCCTTTGATCATGCCACTTGGAAGGCAGAGGCAGGTGGATCTCTGAGTTTGAGTCAGTCTGGTCTACAGAGCTGCAGGACAGCTAGGATACACAGACTCTGCCTCAAAACCAGTAAAAGGAGCAAACACGGATTTGGTTTCACTTTCCCTCCAGCTAGATGGTGTAAGCAACGAAGATTTCAAAAGTGGCATTATTTTTGGAAGAATAAGTACTGATCTAGGCTTTTATTTATTTTCCCTGAAACAGGGTCTCACACGGTAGCCCACCTTGGCCTAGAATCCATTATATATCCATATCCAGGCTGGACTCTACCTCATGGCATTGTTCTCATATCACCCTACTGTGACCTAGGATTACAGGCATGAACCACAACACCCGGCCAGAAAATGAATTTTTAGAAATTAAAAGCATTTAATTCATATTAAGCAGTTTCACATACTTTTAATATAAAGTTAACATATAGTTTACCTGTATTTTATTGAAATACTGTCCAGCTTCAAATGGTACAACATTGTATGTAGAAATTCCAATTATTGGTTTGTCAGTAGGATTCTTAGCTTTATAAAATGCCAGTGCAGTTTCTCCTGGTACCACCTGTTTCAATAAACACATATTATATCTGATGCTATTCTTTCCCCTTGCTAAATTAACAGTCATATTATTTTCCTATTCATTGGCCCATACTACCTAACCTAATGTACTGTGAATATTGCCACAAGCGTATCTTATTTTCAGATTGTATTTGCTTATGTCAATAAAGAATCAGTTATGAATGTCCCAGTTGGATGTCTGACGTCTTCAAGCAATAATCTACAAATCAGTTAAAATGTGTCCAAGAACAAGCCCGGAAAACCACAGTTCAAGCCCAACTACTTTATAACAGTTAAACCTGAATGTCATGATAAGCAAATGTTTAAAAGGATGCCAATATTAAGCTTACCTCAATTCTGAATAACTTAAATTTATAACCAGTATAAAACTGACTGAACAAAATCTGTTAAACTAAAAGGAGTTAACACTTCGAGAAATAAAAAAAAACCAACCCAGCAACAAAGGCTGTAAAGAATTTCCATAGAATCTTCTGTCACCTGTACCAATTCTCCATTACTGTTTACTGCCAGGCAAAAACATAACCCACAAAACCCTTAATTAAGATTAAATAATGTTAAATAATGTTTACTAAACTGGACAAGCACTATGTTTTATAAGGGTTTGTTAATAATAACATTTGAAATTAAGCCTTTTTTAAGGGTAATTTACAATTACAAATATTTGCAGGACTGCAATTTGTAAAAATTTAGAAGCATTTTAGATACAATGATACTCGAGTATAATATGACTATTGTTACTACTGAAATAATTACTTCACATCTTCAAAATTTTTTCTTAGTGGGGATTTACCTCAATGTAGAGTGCTTACATACAAGACCCTTGGTTCATACCTCAGTACTTTCTCCTCCTCCTCCTCCCAAAGTTGTATTTTTTCTTTTGACAGACAGAAATACTTCTGATAAACTGGTAAATTACTTATTATGACCAATGATTCCCCACATATTTTCTATTTTTCACCTATACCAGAGCAAAAGTCAGAAAGCTATGTGACATGATCAGGCACTGCTAAGCTCAACATCAATGACCAAAGGATTTAGTCAACTTTCAATCATATGATTATACACATATGACATTGTTTCAACTCGATTAAAAATTAAAATATAGCCAGTACCATACATAACACATTCGTCCATATCTCTAATTCATTTAGATCCTAATGCTATGGTTGAATATTTTTAAGGGGATATCAATGTTAAACTAACCTTAAATTTATTTGCAGTAAGTTTTTAACCAGAGTAAAACTGAGTGAATAAAACCTTTGTTTAAACAAGTCAATGCTCTGGGAAATCAAGAATAACAGCAAGGCTAAGCTGAGGCAGAAGGATCATGAGTGTGAGGTCGGCTTGGGCTACACAGTGAGACTGTCATGAGAACCCAAAATGTTATAGTTCCATTCAAATACAAGGTACTACCAAAGAGTAAATGTTTCAAAACACTAACATAGTCCTTGAATAATTCCTTTTTGTGAATTATATCCCATGAATACTATCAATGTCCTAGCATTTGGAAATGAGTTTAGCTGGGTTGACAGATGAACCCACGAGTCACTCACATATATCTCCGTTTGCTGAGGTCTGAAGTTCCACTGGAGACTAGCATGCACATCGGCATTGAAGGTGACCTTTATGATTCGATCCTTAACAGGCACCATGTTTTCAATCTGGTCTGACGAGTGCCCGGCCACTGCTGATCCTCCCAGTCCAGTAGTCTAGAACAAGACACTGGATACGTTAGTTAAGCAACAGTTTTTAGACCTTCACTTATTTCCTTGCTAAAAGTAAACCTGAAAAAAACTGAATGTTCCACTCTGAGCCAAAAGGTATACTACCCCTGATTAGTTCCTGTTGTCAATGGCTTACCTATATTTGTTAAAGTGATTCCTCTTTTTTTTCAGCAACGAGTCATTTTAAAAAGCAGATTTTGAAGACATGCTATTATTATGAGTGTAAGCAAAACTTCTGAAGTGTAACCTTTTATTAAATAGTTCCCTTCATTGTTAGTGTACTTTACATGAGTGATTATTCACTTAAGAAAAGTTTACCCAAACCCTGTCATTTTAAATCAACACAAAACTGTCTATGGTCCTGCTTATCCTTTTCTAACACAGCTTTTAGAGTTGAAATCAGTCCGTAGATTTATTTTTCTATTCTGCTTCCCCAGGGCATCATCAATGTTTTCCCATGCAGGTGGGTCAATGATTTTCTGACACTTATCTGTAATTCTCTTCATACACACAGATATTCTATCCTTCGTCACCAGTACCTGACCTTTTTTATTTAAAAAAAAAAAAAAAACTTTTTACTTTTGGTTATCCAGTCAACTACCATAAAGCACCAGGAATTTTTATCTGACATTTCTTCACCGCTATTATTTCCTTATCAGATGTGGGGGTGATGCTACTTCCAAGACATCCTTCTGCTGCTTGAGGTTAACGGAAGTCTGATTTTCACATAATTTTACCTTTCCTAAACGAAAAGCCAAGCGTGAGGCTAATGGAAGACTCTAAAAAAAGCTACTGTATCGACATCTTTCTCTCATTACACAAGTTACTTAGCTTCATTCAATTTCCCTCGACATTGTCAAAACTACACTTTCATCCTAAAAGGTAAATCGAGAGCAAGTATTTGACCTTATTTAACAGGTTAAGTATATCATTCTGATAGGAGACTGAGTTTTAAGATGAACCGTTTTCCTAAAGAATTTAAGTCGGTTGGATAAAAAGCAATTTAAGTGTTCTTCAAATATAAACTCCATATATATATTCATTCTCCATATTTATTTATTTATTTATTTATTTATTCATTCATTCATTCTTGGGGCACGTGTTATATTAAAGTTTCTCAAGTTCGATGCGATAATAGGTTTCGATGGGTTGTATTTCAATTTGCTCATCCAAAGGGACCGCTGCGTTCCACGTCTTCCTATATTTAACTTCCTCATTTCTTGCTCTAACACCTGGTGATTGCATGGCCAGTGTGCTAAACATGGAACTTGATTCTAAGACGGAACTTGATCCTAAGATGACATTTTAAAAACCTAACGTTAACACAGCCCGAGGAAAGCATGTGCACAGACACGCTCCGGAGTCTCAATGACGTCCTTTCTGTCGGTCTCAGTGCGACTGGCATTTCAGGGTGGACGATCCTTGTTTTGTTTTATTTTTAATTTTTATTTTGGAGGGGCGGGGTGTCCCGGGAACCTGCTGCACTCACTAAGTGCCGGGGAGTAGCCTGCGCTGCACAGCACGGCAGGACGCTCCTTCCTCCCCGGGCAAGCCCCATCGTTGCCGACCCGGCCTTCCCCGGGCAGCTTTCTGGGCTGACCTCCGTCTCCCAGGCAGAGGCCCCGCAGGGCGCCGGCGGCATCCGGCCCGCACCCGGTCCCTCCCTACCTGGCAGTAGAGCCGATAGAGGGGCACGGCGGCGGGGGAGGGCCCCC